AACATATAAGAGATTTTTTTTTTTAAAATAAGCGGTTAAACGCAAAATTGTATCATTGCCTGAAAGAAAACTGATCTGCTCCTGTCACTGATACTCCCGTGACTTGCACTGTATACATCGATGGCAGGAATGTGGGAGATGCAGTTTCACTTCTCTCTCTCTCTCTCTCTCTCTCTCTCTTCCTTCTCTCTCTCTCTTGTCTCTCTTCTCTCTCTCTCTCTCATCCCTTCCCCTCCTCTCTCTCCCCATGTTGTGGCTGTGCTGTTGCTGCTCTTCTTTCCTCTCTCTCCGCCTCTCCTCTCGTTGTCTGTCTCTCGCTCCTCTCGCTCTCTCACTCGCCTTCCTCTTCTGTGCTCGTCTGTCTGTGTGTGTGGTGTCGGTTCTTCTCTCTCTCGCTTCTCTCTCTCTTCTCTGTGCGTGTGTGGGGTGCTGTCTGTGCTCCTTCTGTTGGGCTTTGCTGTGTGGGTGCTGCGTCTTTTTCGTGTTGTCGGTTCGTGTGTGTGTGTGTGTGTTGTGTGTGTGTGTCTGTGTCGTGTTGCCTCGTGTGGTTGTCCTTTTGTGTTTCTTTTTGTGTTGTGTGCTTTTCGTGGTTTCTCTGTTCGTGTTGTGTGTGTCTGCTCGTGTGCTTCTGCTGTTTCGTGTTCTGCGTTCGTCGTGCTCGTTCTGGTCTGTGTGTTTTGTTGTTCTCTTTCTTCCTTGTTTTCTTTGTGTTCTCTTGTTATTTGCTTCTTTTTCTATTCTTTTTCTCTTTTCTCTCTCCTTCTCTCTTCTCTCTCTTTCTCTCTTTCTCTCTTTCTTTTCTTTTCTCTTTTCTTCTTCTGTTTTTCTCTCGTCTTTTCTCTATCGTCTTCTCTTCTTCTCTTCTCTCTTCGCTCCTTCTCTCTCTCTCTCTTGTTTTTCCTGATCTACTCACCTCTCTCTTCTCTTTGTATTTTGGTTGCGTGTTCTTCTCTCTCTCTCTCTTCTCTCTCTCTCTGTTCTCTCTTCTCTCTCTCTCTCTCTCTCTCTCTCTCTCTCGCTCTCGCTCTCTCTCAATTTCCTATCTTCCTCTCTTCTTCTCCGCTTCTCTCTCTTCTCTCTCTCTCTCTCTCCTCTCTCTCTCTCTCTCTCTCTCTCTCTCTTCTCTCTCTCTCTCTCTCTCTCTCTCTCTCTCTCTCTCATTCTCTCATTTCTCTCTCTCTCTCTCTCTATTCTATCTATCTATCTATCATTATCTTCTATCTTCCCCTCTCTCCCTCCCCTCTCTCTCCTTCCCTCTCTTTCCTCTCCTCCCTCTTCTCTTCTCCCTATTCCCTTCTTCTCTCTCTCCTCTTCCTCTCATCTCTTCTCTCCTCTCCTACTCTCTCTCCCTCCCTCTCTCCTTCACCTCCTCCCCACCTTCTCTCTCTTCTCTCTCTTTCTACACTCACTTACCCTCTCTTCTAACCTCGCCTATTTATATTAAACGTGATTTATTATTATATTATTATATATATGTATTATTATATTATATTATATAATAAATTATATTTTATTATATATGTGTTGTTTTATTTTGTTGTGTTGATGTTGATGTGTGTGTTGGTTATGTGCTGTCTTCATCTGTTTTGTGGGTCGTTGTCGCGTGCGGTCTGTTGATTTCGTTGGTCTGGATGTGTGTGTGTGTGTGTGTGTTTGTTTTAGTGATTTGTGTTTGTTGTGTTGTGTGTGTGTGTTGTGTTTGTGTGTTTTATTTTTTGATGTGTGGTGTGTGTCGTTGTGTGTGTGTTGATATGTTGTGTGTGTATGTGTGGGTGTAAAATTATATATATAATTAGTATTAGGTTGGTAGTATAATAGTATATATGATGCGAGGCGAGACAGAGAGAGGAGGAGACGGGGAGGGGAGTGGAGGGGGGTGGGGTTTTGGGTAGGAGGAGAGGGTTAGGGGGAGGAGGGTGATGAGGGAATGTGATGGGGGGGGGGGGGAGTGGTGGGTTTGGGGATGTAGGGATTTGGTAATTGGAGTGGGTGGAGTAGGTGAGTGGGGGGGTGTGTGGGTGAGGTATAGGGGGAGGTGTGCAAGGGGGGGGGGGGTATGTGGGGGTGTTGGTTTGGGTGGTGGTGAGGATGGGACGGGTTGGTGGGATATGGTTGTTTTGGTTTTTTGTTTTTTTTTATATATATTAGATTTGTTGATTTGGATTTTTTGGACAGTATCATGGTAATATGATCTTGATGTTATGTTTGAGATGATGAGAGAAGAAGTTATAATTTTTGATTGAGAGAGAGAGATGTGAATGATTTTATTTTGTGAGATGATATATTTTGTTTTGTTTGTAATAGGTATTGGTGAATTGTGAATTGGTGGATTGAGGAGAGAGAGAGAGTTATTGTATATTGTTGTGTGATGTGTGTGAGAGGAGGAGTAGTTATTGAATATGGATGTGTATTTAGTATTTAGATTTTGATATTTGCATTTTATTGGGGTGATTTTGTGTTGCTCTGGATACGATGAGTAGGATCGTGAGATATAGTGATAGATGATGAGCTGTTGAGATGATATTGTATGTTGTTTTGGATGATTCTGTGTGGTTTGTGTTGGATGTTGTGGTAGTATGGGGATTGGAGATTGGATTGGGTAGGTTGATGAGAATTGATGATGATAGTAGATTGAGAATGAGATATTCTTAGAGGACATAGAGTGCATCAAGAGACAGGTAAAGGTACAGAGATGAGTAGACGATTAAGAGAAAAGAAGTAAGAGAGATTGAGTGATGAGTATGATGAGATGAGTGGAGTGAGGAGAGACATGTGAGATCGATGTAGACAGGATTTGTAATTTGATGTGACGAGATTACTGATTTGTTTGATTGGATGTACGATGTGATGGAGCTGTAGTTGGTTGTGTGTGAGGACTGTAAGATGGAGCGATTGAGTTGACTATGTGGGTAATGTATGGGATCTATGTGATCTATGGTATGATGTCAGAGACATGGAGACATGATTAGTGGACAGTAAGAGACATGACAGTAGACATGGAGAATCTTAGTGAATGAGTTCCAGTGTATGGACATGAATGAGATGATTGAGAGGAGAGTAGATCAAGTATGAACAGATGACAGAGGGACAGATAAGAAAGAGAGAGGAGAGACAGATTTATTTAGACTAGGAGACAGTTACTGTATCTAGTAGACATGAATGAAAGTAATGAATAGAAGACAGAGACGAAACGGGGACAGGCAGACGAAAGGGACAGATGTACTAGATTGATAATGGATGAAGGAGAGAAGAGTATGAGGACGATGAGAGATGAGAGTAGATCGAGATCGAGATGAGAGAGATGGAGAGGAGTTATGAAGAGATGATAGAATGATATTGATGAGAGAGAGAGAGTAATAGATTAGTGATATAAGATGAATCATGAGACAGAACTAGATATGAGGGTCAGATTCGAGATGATGTAGGAGATTTGAGTAGATTTTTATTGTGTATTGTTGAGATTGTTTATGTTATTTGAGATGAGAAGAGCAGAGTTTCAGAGAACAGAAAAGGGACTAGATGAAGAGAGATCTGTAGAGACA